TTACTTAACGAACTAATTAATGAATTTAGTTATAAAGATTTTAATAATTTTTTAAATCTTTATAACAGATACCCAGTGATATTTAGAAGTAAATGTCTGTCTAATAAAACTTTAAAAACGCTTTTAAATCTTTTAGATATTGAACACACTTGGAGAGTTTTTAATCTTACAAACATGAGTATACTTTTGCGGCCCCTAACGATGTTTCCCATTCAAGAGTAGATCGCTTCTGTCACTAAAAAATGTAGACAAAATATAAAAACTTTTTTTGAGCCAACCATATTAAGTGACCACTAAAATGCTCAAGTAGTGATTCTAAACGCGAATTATATTTTTCTAAAGTCTTTAAAAAATGAACAATTTAATACTCTTTAAGAAGCGTTTTGGAACGAATGGATGGATTCGTTTTGGAACGAATGGAGAAAATATATTTACCGAAATGTTATGGACTGGTGGGAAGACGATAAAGAAAACATAAAAATTATTTCAAAAAAGTTTAGCAAAAAACTAAAGCGAACAAACAACAAAAGAGAATTTAAAATTAAAAAATATTTGGAAACGCGTTAAAAAAAATGCAATATGAAAAAATTAAACGACGAATTAAAATTAAAACTTGAATCCATTTAAAAAAAAAATCCGAAGGCGCGGTAATAAGAGCAAAAATTCAGTAAAGGTTAGAAAGTGAATGATGCTCAAAAATTTTTTTTTTTTTTTTTGATTAAGAAAAAAAAAAGCTAGCTAAGCAGTGTCTCTGAAATAAGCAGCAGAGACATGGAGGTCAAAACCGAATCGATAGAAATTTTACTGGAATTTGAAAATTTTTATCAAAATTCTTACAAGTTCAAAGAAAATGACAAACCTTCTTAGGAATACTTCTTCTCGAACGTCTAAGTTAGGAAAATAACTAAAGAAAATCCAAAAAACCATCTAATGCGTGAATTCTCATAAAATAATGCTCGTCATAATTTCTTTAAAAATCGTATTGTCAATGATTGGAATAGCTTGCGTTTAGCATGCAAAAAGACTCCGTCAGTTAATGCATTTAAGAATAGAATTGACAAGTATCTTTTTATATACAGCTGTATCTATTACTGAAGATAAGCTGCACGTTTATTAATTACGGAATTATTGATCATTTTTGACCAATCCCCCTCCTTCCGCGTCGCAAGATCGTAAACTTTAGTTACAAGTCCAGAATAAGTCGTCACAAAACCACCAATCCTCCCTATCCCCTAGAGCTTGACGTAATGGACGACTCTTAAATTTTTGTATAATTTATTAGTTTCGTTTGCTTTTTTAATTATTTGTCATGTTATCTAGAAAGACTTATCTAAATATATTACTATTACTGTTACTAAGAAAATAAAATGTTGAAAAAACAAAGTTCTGAAAGCGAAGTAAAACAAGCCCGAGGGCAAATGAAAAATATTAAATCCCCGGGTTTAACAACTGAATATTACAAAAAAAATTTCAATACAGTTAAAAAAGACTTAATGGAAAGTTTAAATAGTGTTTTGTTTACTGAGAAAACCACAAATTCCCCAAAAGAAGCTCTAATAAGCATATATTTTTAAAAAAGGAAACAAAAACAATATGGAAAATTGGAGATCCATATCATTAACAAATGTGGATTATAAAATCCTAACAAAAGTTTTGGCAAATAAACTCGAAAATATTTTTACCAAACATAAAACATAGCAACCAAACATACGTGTATTAAAAACAGTTACACAAGAGACAATCAACATTGCTAAAAAAGTTCATTAGGCTTGACGACAGGGGTTTCAAAGTGGAGGGGCACAATTATCAATTTTAAAAAAAAGTTTTCTATATAAAATATTTTCTTAAAAAAAAAAAAAAAAAAAAACTTAAGAAAAAAAGTGGTGCGTGCAAAAATGTTATTGTAATGGTAGTCAATGTTGCTAAAATATTAAACTAAAACATTGACAAAAAAATATATATTGAAAATATAAATTGAAAATTCTTTTATGGTGGGGGCGGGGTGGAGCACCCCCCGTAAAATCGCCTCTGCTCCTAATGTCACCTTTAAATTTGAATTAAGATTTGATGCAGATCATCTAATAAGATCGGTTTGATTGTTTATAGCGCAGAAATTTTTTTTATAATTGTTCTTGGAATTGTTATTGGAAATACTGCAGTAATTAAAACGTTTAAAAGTGTTCACAAAATACAACGTAGTTGGGTTGCAAAAATATATAATATAAACATTTTGCCGTAAAATATTTTATGGGAGTAAAAATCTCATAATGGGAGTAAAAATTTAATATAAGATTTTTATCTGGAAGTAAAAATTTAATATAAGATTTTTACCTGGGAGTAAAAGCTTCATATGCGATTTTAATTGGGGAGTAAAAAAACGTGGAATACTGCTTTGTTTTTTAATTTCAACTAGTCCGGAATGTAACGTGGTTGTCATTTTTTAAATTAAAGTATTTTTTAAATAAACGTACTGCACTGCAGTGCAAAACTTCTCTATTAC